AAAAAGTAGTGCTGGCCGAGACTATACCCAGGTGTCCTCCCTGACTTCTGGAAGCTTGGAGTCTAAATATTGGTAAAAGGCAAACCCTCGCAGGAGCCAGGAGCTACTGTGGCATCCTCAGTAGACACTGGAATTCAGCCTCCTGAGTGGGTGAGGTCCAACTGGGAAGGCTTCAAATCGCAGCTTCTCTCTCCCTGCGGCCCACTGATGGCCTGAGGCTGAGATTTTTTACTGCCTAATTATTAAAGCTAAGGAGGTGATTTCCCCTTACCCTCTACCACCCGGAGAAAAACAGAAAGGCTAGCTTGAAAGACCTGCTTCAGGGCCCCATCACGGACCATGAGGGCTGAGAGACCACCTGCTCAATGCTAGGTTTCCAGAGGCTGCTCTGTCCCTCAGGCAGTCCCAGACACCTTGGACATCCCGTGCAAACTCATTTAAATCTTCTTGTGAATCATGTCATCTGTGAAGTTCCCATCCTTTGCATTCACTTCTCCTTGCTTTGCAATTTTAAAGACACTTTACAATGAAATGAAATGTACAGGTTGGGCTGAGGGTGTGTGCTAGGGTGACAAAGTCCTATTTCTACAGTGTCCAGGTGGTAACTTAACAACCAAAGTGGAGGAGGGACAATGGCAAGTTGCCTCTAATGAACGGTCACCACTCTTCTCCAGCCAGCTCTCAGCCTGATAAAATCAGTCCAGTGTTTCAAGATGTTTCAATATTTCAAGAGAATCTGAATGTATATAGGTTTTATATGAGATACCTGTATTCATTCTAAAATGGTTGGAAAGTCATTAAACACCAATGATTTCATACCGAAGGCCAAATGACACATGTATAAGCCAGAGAGGGTCTCCATCTTACTTGGGTTTATGAAGGGTAAGCCCCTTCTCACACTCCTGCATTTTAGTGTCACCTGCTGGCTATTTGGAAGTTGTCACTCCTCATTGGACCCTCATGAGAAAAAAATTCCTAAATCTATCATTGGTTACACTTACTTGTTTTCAAAACCTAGCATTTGTCGGTTTGGGGGCAGGGTGGAGCTGCTTTTAGCACAAGTGCACCACACTTCTCCTGATGTGTTGAAAATCTGACTGGGAGGCTGTAGATGGCCAGGTTTGTTTGGTCCCTTGGCTGGCTGGGACCGGTCTCCCACAACTCACCCCTCCTTGCAACCCTTGAGTTGTGGCAGATCAGTTGAAAAATCATAAGACTCTCAAACAACAAGCTGCTTCGGTCAAGGTCTAGGAATGCTGTCTTAACCACACAAGTGCCTTTATTGCCCCCAAACTGCTCAGCTTTTCCAGCTTCCGGGGTGTAAAGAACAATGAGCAGATGTGCTCTTGAGCTAAGTGTGTGCAATTCTAAAGTGCAGACATGTTGGGGAAGATAAGCAGGTTGGTTGCTAGCCTGGCTGCCGCTGTTTCTCCCTCAGTCTTTGTCTTCTCTGTGTCCCCATCCACTTCCCTCCCTGTCAAGACTTGTCTTTTCAGTCAGGGGAGTCTCTTTAAGACAAAAACAGTTTAGAATAATTAAGCTATCTCTGCACCAATTATCTTTCATATGTATTATACACCAAAAGTGAACTGCAACCCCTAAGTGATTATAAGCCCAATAATGAAACTATCATTAGAAATACACGAAACTCCACAGAAGAGTCTCCAAAGGACAAAAATTGAATTAGAAATTCAAATGTTCTTTGAACTGTGTTATAAAATAGTGAAACTGAATGAAATCTTTTGTGCTTGGCAGCCGGCTCTGGTAATTAGATAATTAAATCAAGGGAAAATCCTAGAATGTAGAGCATATCCTATTCGAGCATTTCATTTTCAGAGTTGATGAATTATCCTCAGGAATAGAAATTTGATGCAGATACAGTGGGCTGGATAGATTTAAATAGGGCAAAAACAATGTCAAGGGAGGCAAAAGGAACCTAAGCAAAAGATTGAGAAACCCTTTAAAACTCATATAATTCCCTGCTCTCCAGTTTCACATGGATTATCAATCTAAGAGAATGGTACTTAATCCTGGCTACTTGTTAGACTCCCCTAAGGCCTAAACAAAAATACTGATACCCAAGTACCACTGCCTGAGTCTGACTTCATTAGTGGACCAGAGGCCAGGTGCTGGTGATTCTAGAATATTCCAGGGTAAGAACTACTGCTCTCAGTTACCATGAATGCTCAATCCATTGAGATGCCTCTTGGAAATACAGAGATCTATCAGCTCTCACAAGGGTGAGGCAGAAATAAATGGGTTATCCACCACCCTGTCGTTGGTTTGTCTCACCCAATGACTTCAAAGCCCTGACTTCAAACAATGCACCTTGCTCCCAGTGGCTGATAGGATGTGTTCTCTACTTTGTTATAATTCATACAAGAGCTGTGTGGAACTTTTATGTATGTTCCCATTCCTAGGTAACAGTTGGGTCTGCACTGAGCTGGCAACAGGTGAAGGTCTTATATCTCACAAATGTTCTCTTCAAAAGGTGATTATCTTTATCTATTACCTTGTCTGGTATGATTTTTTAAAGCCTACTTTTCCTAAATGATGAGCTGTATCTTTTTTCCAAAATGCCACAGTACTTGGATTTTACTAAGGTAATCCCACAGCCACAGAAGTGACTGCAGTCTTCCCCTTTCTATGGGCTGAGGGGAGAGAGAAACTTCTGGAAGATATGTTACAAGTCTGGCAGGGGGCAGATGAGACATGGCCTAAAGAGAGAATGGATACATCCTACCTCTCTAATTCTCACAGTTGGTTTCTCTTGGTCCCTATCGCCTTATTCTGCTTTCCTGATAAATAAAAAATGGGGTTATTCTGAACTTAGCATTCCATTTTAAAATGATGAGAATTTACTGTGTCTTCCCAGGAGAGGGAGGAGGTAAAAACATTCACATAAAAGAGCAACAGAGCAGTACACAGAGACTTTGTATTTGAAACGATATAACTCACTAGTTATCTTAAGGTGTATTTTTTTATAAAATAGTGTCTCAGAGAAATGTGCCAGAATCTCATTTATCTTCTGACATCCAAATAAGTGGTCATGGGAATGTGTAAAGCATTTCTCACATTCCCTGAGAAAAGCACCCTAGAGGCTGGCCCTTCTTGAGCAGACCTGTTTTCCCCCACCAGGCAGAAATGGAGCCAGTACAGGGGTTGACAATTAGGTTTCCATACAATGTACAAGCCCTAGACAGACCTTCACATGGATGCTAAGATTGGAAACACTGCCCAGATGACAGGTAGTTGTGACCAGGCATGCTGTGCCTTGTTCCCTGCTGCCTTGGGGATCTTACCAGGTGGCTGTCATCATGAATCTTCCTGATTTGTAGCCCCACCACTGTTCAGTGTCACTGTTGGACAGAAAAATCAATTTGATTACACTGTATACTCTTGGCAAGACCGACAGTCTTAGATTTTACCTAAGTGATCAAGATCGAGTATGTGAGGTGCATGTCTACTTCGAAGTGGGTGGAATTAGGTTTAGGCAGTTGCCTAGTTTCTTGATGAAGTTGATATGGATAACTTATTTGGTCCATTTACATTTTTAATGACCACAAACACTATTTCTGTCTGAGTATTTTTATTAAAACTTCAAGACACAGCTTTTCCAATAAATTTATGTTTCCAGAAGTGAGGAAGTAACTGCACCCATTATTTGCCTTCCAATGTTGACAACTAGAAAACTGGAAAATAAATACATCTATGAAACAACTGTTTTCAGACATTGGGTAACAGACAGCACAGGATTGTGGTACTTAGGAGGATGCACACATAAGTGGTGAGAACTACCCTTGGCTCTGCTTTCTGCCTGATGGCACTTTTCAAATCACAAGGCAGAAAGGGAAAAACCAAGCAGACCACTGACAGTCTTGGTTGAGGAGATAAGATCAAAGTTTAGAGAGCTGAGATACCTAGAATTTGTGGAGTGCCAAATAAGAGGCAGCTCTGAAGAGAAAAGTGAAAGTGTATATAAATCAGTGGGTGTGTTTTGAACAAGCCAAGCATGTGAAGTGTGAAAGACCACTGGGCCAGGCAAACATAAAGTGGGGTGTCCCCAGCTGAAACATTGCCAGAGCTCCCCCAGGGCTGGGAGATGTTCATGTTGGGACAAGCAAGAGTGAAGAGGCTTTATAGATCACCTGGGCATTCCGAGATCAGAGAAGGGCCATATTTTAGTCTTAGGACTAAACTAGCCCCAGAGTAAAGGCTACCCTTAATTCACTCTAGCAAAGCTTAAAAATAGCCTCTATAGAACAAAAAATGATCCACAAGTAACTGAACCATATTCCAGAGAAACTCCAACCTTAGTACAGGAAAACAACAGAATCCAGCATTACATACCAACATCTGATAAAAAATTATTAGATACATGATGTAAGAAACATGACCCATAAACCTAAAGAAGAACCAGTCAGTGCAAACCATCCAGAATGACAGGGATAGTGATACCAGTGACAAGGACTTTAAAATAGCTGTTATAATTATTCTCAAGGATTTAAAGGAAAACATGAAGACAATAAGATGAGAAATGGATGACATAAGAAAAAAATCTAAATGATCACACTTAATAGAAGATTATTACCAAAAAAAATCAGTCAACTTGAAAAGGTATAGAAACTGTCCAAACTGAAGAATATAGAAAAAAAAGACAGAAGAAAATGAGCAAAACTTAGTAATTTATGGAACAATACTAAGTAGTCAATGGGGGAAGAGAAAAATATTAGGAGAAATAAAGGTTGAAATTTTTCCAGATATGATGAAAGCTGTTAATCTACAGACCAAAAAAAGCTCAATAAACCCCTAGAATGATAAGCACAAATGAAACCACACCAAAGCACACTATACTCAAATTGCTAACAATCAGAATAAGTAGAAAATCTTTAAAGCAGCCAGAGGAATAATAAACTAAGACACATTACATACAGGGAAACATAAATAAGAGTTAATACTAACTTCTCCACTAGAGTCAAGTCAAGTCAGAAGACAGTGAAATGATATCTTTAAAGTGCTGAAAGGAAAAAACTCCTCCAGAAAATAGAGGACACTTCCCAACTCATTTTATGAAGCCAGAAACCAAAAATATAAGAAAAGAGAAATATAGACCAATATCCCTCATTAAAATATGTGTAACAAATCCTTAATAAAATATTAACAATTGAATCCAGAAATATTTTAAAAGGATAATATATTACCCTGGGTTTTATCCCAGAAGGACAATATTGTTTTTAATATGAAAAAAGAATCAATGTATTTTACCTTATTAACAGCATAAAAGAGAAGAATCATATTTCAATAAATGCAGGGAAAAAAATGACAAAATTCAATACCAATTACAAAAATACTCAGCACTTTAGGAATAGAAGGAGACTTCCTTAACCTGATAAAGGATGTCTGAAAAACCTGCAAAGAACATCATTAGTGGTGAAACACTGCACACATTCCCCATAAACTGCTATTGAACACTGTACTGAAGATCCTAGCAAGTGTGATAAGCTTAGAAAAAAGAAAGAAAAGGCATGCAGTCGGGGAAGTAAAAACTATTATATGACATTCTAGAACAGGAAAAACTAATCTATAGGACAGAAATCAGATTGGTAGTTTCTTTGGGCTGGAGATTGATTGCATCATGAAGGAATCTTCTAGAGTGATGAAAAATATCTGTCTTTTCAGTAGTGGTTGCATGGGAGTATACATTTATCAAAATTCACTGACCTGTGCATTTAAAGTGGGTATATGTTACTGTTTGTAAACTATACCTTATTAGAGTTTTTTTAAGTTAATTGAAATGTAGGTATTACTGCTAAGCAAAAATAAGCAGAATGATTTGAATTGCTGATGATGAATTTATTTGAAGCATTTAGAGAGACAGAGTGACCCACATCCTGCCACTGCTATGAGGAGCACAGGGTCCTGAGGACAGTGGCCAGAATGCCAGGTGGGGAGGGGGCAGGGACTAGACTAGGGAATCGGAAAGAGGACCTTTGCACATGCTTATTCCTTCATGATTAACTCACTGGTGCCCGCCTGCCAGCCAGTGTGCTATGTGCAGTTACCTCTTTAGTCCTGCTAGCTGGCTCTAGCAAGCCCCTTTCTGGATTGTACAGCCTGGAACTGCAAGGGAGCCTCTCCCTACCTTCCTCCTCCAGTGCAATACTTTGAATTCAGTCTTTTATCAGTTGAACAATTTGACTATTTACATGCAGTTGTGGCCTTCTGATATATCCGTAGGTTTCTCAAAAATATTATTTTGAGATTCGTTCCTACAGCAGTACGTGTTGGGCACCTGCTCTGTGCTGAGGACTGTGTTCATGGCTGGAAATACAAAAGACATTCGCTGCCTCAATAGAGGGATGACATAGGGTGGCTGGAAAATTAGAGTTCAATTCATACAACCAGTTCTCATCCTAATTCAGCCCTTAATTACTGAGTAACCCTGAAAAAGTCACTTAGCTTCTCAGGGCTTCCTTTTTCCTATCTTCCAAATTTCAATTTTAAGAATTTTATACATTCCAGTAATGATTTCTAGCTTGATAGCCACTGTTGATATCCCCCGCTAACTAGACCATAACCTTACTGAAGCCTGTCCGTGAGGTCTGGGCAGGAGGGTCAGGTACAGAGGGCTGGGCCCGTGGCTCCTTGCACAGTGAGACCATCCGTCCATTCAAGAGGCCTCCTCTCAGACCTGACACTCACCCTTGGTGGCACATGAGAATCATCCAGGAATTTAAGTGCCCGGTGCCCAGGCTTCACAGCAGACCAATGAAATCGAAATCTCATGGGTGGGATGGGGTTGTAAGGACCCAGATGCCAGTCACTTTCAGACACATTTAAGCATCTTTTTATTTGTCCCTTACATAGCTGTCACCCCTCACTTCCCCCTTCGTGTCAAAGGAAATAGCACTGTGGAATCTGACACAGGGCATTGAATTTGAGCATACATAGCAGGTAGTTTACTGTGTGTATTTAACAACCATTGCAGTTAGAGCAAGTCAGGGCTGAGCCCAAGGCATATTTGAGCCCTGGGCCAGTCAGCCAATATTTCTACCATCTGGGAAGGAATTGTGGGTTCTCCATTGTCTGTTATTATCAACATTACTGCTTGACTCAGTTCATGCATGCATTCAACTAATATTTATTGAGTGCCTGCTATGTGCCAGGTACTATGACCTGGAGATGCTGGAGAATACAAGTTAAGCAGGTGGAGGGAATCGCAGATGCAAAGTCCCTGCAGCAGAAAGGAGCTTAGCCAAAAGAACAGAAAGGATGTTGGTGTGACTGAAGCAGAGTGTGCCAGCTGCATGCAGTGCGTGGAGGCTGGTGATGGGGGAGAGAGTCAGGCTGCCCTGTGCCTTGTGGGCAGAGCTGTAGCTGCACAGATCCTGGGAGGAAGTTGGCCTCTGTGCATTGTCTCCTTACAAGGTGACTTTCAGCAATATACTGACTGACTATTTTTAAGACCACAATCAAAAAACATTATTAGCAAAAGCAGTGGTCATGAGTCACATAGAGGAGGTAACCCAAGAGCAGCACGTCTTTATTTGGTTCACTCCCAGACAAAACCATTGCCCCCACCCCCACGATTCTGCTCACTGAGAACAATATTTGGTAGGTGTGTGCCAGACAATATTATAAGCACTTTATTGCCTCACTGAATCTCCAATCCCAGTCTATGAGATATAAGCTATTACTATCCCTTTTTATAGATAGATACAGAGAGATTAATAACTTGCCTATGGTTGCATGGCTACTAAGTAGTAAAATAAGAAACTGAACCCAGGCTGACTTTCTCTGGATGGCTGTTCATTGTAGTGCAAAGCTGACAGTGACACATGTTGGTAGCTCTGCTTTTGACTCATGTTGAGCTGTTTTATCTTTACCCAGAGAAAATGGAAAATATGATGGAGCTTCAAGGAGGTGCTAACATGGTCAGATAGCACTTGCACAGATAACAGATGGTCGACAAAGACATCACTCCCATGAGATGATCTCTGGTAGTTGTAGAACAGTCCATGAAACAAGAAAAAAAAAACCCATGCAGCTAATTGAAATTTCAGGGAAATGTTTGACATAATATAAAAACTGTAAGATAATTACTGTTTTTGAGGCTGATTGAATAGATTCACTTGATGGTTGTGCTATCAGAGAATTGTCCTGCCCCAGGGAAACACAATCTTCTTGCAAACAGGAATCAAGTGTTTGAGTAGATTCTTGTGAAGGCTGGATACAAACTGACACGTGTGCTCCTCTCCTGGAGTGAGAGAGAAGACTGCTCTGGAAACCATATGGAAAACTATGTGGAACTTGTGGTCTTCTTTATGCACAGAGCCTACATAAAATCCAGAGAAAATAGTAAATTACCAAAAGCTTTAGGCTCATCAGAAATCATTGTCATTGCCACCATCAACACAAATCCTACTGTCTAGGACTACTTGGTATTTGGTATATGGGCCCATATAAAAAGAGGGACACAGATTCTCTTTTAAACTGATAATGCTGAAATAGTCTATAGCCAATTCAACATTTATTAAATACCAAGCAGTTTCTCATTTAATCCTCAGAATAGCCCTGCTACGGGAAGTGAATTTCATCCTTAGAGATAAACTGAGGCAAAGAGACTCTTGAGTACCATTCCCAAAAGGCACAGTGGCCAGGGAGAGGGTTTGGGTTTTGATCTAAAGTGGAACCTCAAAAGACCCAAAGAGCTAAAGCAATCTTGAGGAAGAAGAACAAAGCTGGAGACATAATACTCCCTGATTTAAAGCAATATTACAAAGCTACAGTATTAAAAACAGTATGGTATTGGCATAAAAACAGACACATAGATCAGTGGAACAGAATAGAAAGCCAGAAATAAACCCATGCTTATATGGTCAATTAATTTACAGCAAAGGAGACAAGAATATACAACAGGGAAGGACAGTCTCTTCAATAAATGGTATTGGGAAAACCGGACAGCCACATGCAAAAGAATGAAAATAGACCACCATATTATACCATACACAAAAAGTAACTCAAAATGGACTGAAGACTTGAACATAAGATCAGAAACCATACAACTTCTAAAAGAAATCATAATGGTAAGCCCTTGGACATCAGTCTTAGCAAAGATTTTTTTAATCTAACACCCAAACTAAAAGGAACAATCGCAAAAATAAACAAGTGGGACTACATCAAATTTAAAAGGTTCTGCACAGCAAAGAAAACCATCAACAAAATGAAAGAAAATATTTGCAAATTATGTATCTTATAAGGGGTTAATATCCAAAATAGATAAAGAATTCATAAAACTTAGTAACAGAAACAATCTGACTTAAAAAATGGTCAGAAGCAGTGACTGTAATGGGGTATCTGGGGGCAACTTGATAATGGGGAGAGTCGAGTAACCAAAATGTTGTTCAAGTAATTGTACATTAATGATATAAAAATTAAAAAAATAAAAAATAAGTGGTCAGAAGATCTGAATAAACATTGAAGACAGACAGATAGCCACACATATATGAAAAGGTGCTCAAAATCATTACTCATCAGGGAAATGCAAATCAAAACCACAATGAGGTAACACCTCACACCTATTAAAATTATTTTTATCCAAAAGACAAGAAATAACAAGTGTTGGCCAGGATGTGGAAAAAAAGGGAATCCTTATGCACTGTTGGTGGGAATGTAAATTGGTGCAACCACTATGGAAAACAGCATGGGAGTTTCTCAAAAAATTGCAAGTAGAGGTACCATATGGTCAAGCAATTCCATTTCTGGCTATTTATCTGAAGAAAATGAAAACCCTAACTTGAAAATATAAATGCTCCTCCATGTTCATTGCAGCATTATTTACAATAGCCAAGATATGAAAGCAACCTTTGTCCATTGATAGATGAACAGCTAAAGAACCTATGGTGTGTGCATGTGAGTGTGTGTGTGTGCAATGGAATATCGTTCAGCCATAAAAACGAATGAAATCTTGCCATTTGTGACAATATGGAAGGTTATCAAGGGCATAATGCTAAGTGAAATAAGTTAGAAAGAAAGACAAATACCATACGATCTCACTTAAATGTGGAATCTAAAAAACAACAGAAAGACAAGCTCATAGATACAGAGCACAATTGGTGGTTGCCAGGGTTGGGGAGAAATGGGCAAAAGGGGTCGAAAAGTTAAGAAAAAGCTTTTAAGATATAAAAAGCCAAATAGTATGGGTACTTCAGGTGCCACAATAGGAATAGGCTAGTGAAGGCAGGAAGAAATATTTGGTTCAGGAACTACCTCTCCTATCATTACAGATCTCCTAACAGCATAAACCATATTCCCAAAAATTCCACTCTTGCACAAAGAGCAAGTGATGTCAAGATCACATGAGATCAAGGAGGGAGGGCAGGTAGGGCCAAGGGTTCTGCAATGGCACAGCTTCAGTTCTGGGTTCCAGTTCAGGAGTAGTAAATTATGACCAGGCATCACCTACAGATCTATAAAACCATTTAAAGAAAAATTTTTTTGAAGAATGCTTGGCTCTAAAGCCGTTCCACTAGCCATTCCCCTCAAAAACATGCCCTTGAGAGTTCATGCCCATTGTCCATGATGAACTGACCAGAGCTTAGAAGGGATCCTGTTTTTCATAGACACAGACTTGAAAGACTGGGTGTCAGTTAACAGCTAAAACTCAGATGTTGGATGAAGAAGCAATATTACATAGTGTCTTAGCTCCCTTTCTTTTCTCATTGAAATGAGTATTCAGCTGCGGGGCTGTTAATCCAAACCCACTTCTGAAGACTGCCAGGCATTCAGTTGCCAGGATGTCAGTCAAACAGACCCAATGGAGGTTGATTTCTTTTGTTTAACAGCTGCAGAACCAGGAGCTGCTGAGGGCAATGATGAAGAAGGCTGAGCTGGAAATCAGTGGCAAAGTGATTGAGACAATGAAGAGACTGGAAGATCCTGTACAGCGACAGCGTGTCCTGGTGGAACAGGAGAGACAGAAATACTTGCATGAAGAGGAGAGGATTGTCAGGAAGTTATGGTGAGTGCCCGTCACTTGGTCCATGGTTAACTGGTAAACCTGAAGAGCAGACCTGCCTTTGCCAACCAGGAGGCCCTTCCTAGATGGTGTTCCCTCTCTCTCTATTGAGCACCCACTGTGTACAAGTTCAAGTTCTGCTGGTTATGGATGTCCATGGACACTTAGCACCCCTTCACCCAGCCCTATGCAATTCCAACAACCCTGGAGGACCAAGCTAGGTTACTGGAAAGCTGGAGCATCACACTCTTTGCTAAGGCTCAGCAACACATAAATATAAAAGGAGCAAATGTTAAAACCCAGTGATAAATGGGAAATCTGCATTTAATCTCAATCAATTAAAAGTAATAGCCAAAAATCACTGTGTTAAAATCATCTTCCTATTACTCATCTGTAGTTAAAATCACAGGAGACTTTAAATGTAAAACAGGTCTGATCCAGACTGAAAAATGCTTCCTTGAATGTTACCAATCTTGAATGAAGTTCTTATGGAAAGCATCTATCACGTCCCACCATTGAAAATGAGCAGAGTTTTATTACTCCCGCTGCTCCCCGTCACTAGTGCAGGCTAATTCTTTTATGTTAATGTATGTTTTGTTATGCAACAAAAATTTATCATAGAACTGTTTCACCTTTTAGTATAACAAATAGTCATTTTGGTGGATTCTTCTAGCATTGGTAATTCTCTTGTTTCTTGGAAATCTTAAATCTCCCAAATTGGGATTGTAAGGCAGCAACTTTCAAATTTTTCTCATGAGCAGAACCACCAAAGTCTCCTTGAAGGAAAGTCTTGCTTTCTACCACCAGATATTTGAGCTGTAGCTTTTATCACCTCTGATGTCAATCCAGTGTGTCTAATTAAAATTAGAATATCCCTCTCAGCAGTCTAGAGGGGGAAAAAAATCAATTCAAGTTATTGTTTTCTGAAAAAAATTAAATTTGACCACCGTTCATTAACATTTGAAAGTAGCTTCTAAAATTTTATTTAGCTCATGCATTTATGGACAGCTAATCACCCACTGTGAGGTAAGAAGGCTATTATTTGTCTGAAATGTTTTTGTGACAGCCTCATTGTCTAAAACTAAGTCTTAAGAGTCTTCTTGAAAATGTCTTTAAAAATACATAGCTTTTTAATAATATTTTTATAAATTTTCCAATTAAATTATGAAAAAGTAAATTTCCTTCTTTTAAAAATTATGTTTATTGGTTAGCTGAGATAAACTCTTGCTTCTGACCTAGAAGAGGCATCTTTAATCTCAATAACATCCTGAGATGTGTAGCCCGGCATAATAATGAGATAGGAGAAGAAATGGATCCAACATACTGGGAGGACTTTGTCTAGGGCTTTGGGGACAGCCACATGGAGTAAGACAGGCCCAGGGCGGCTGGGCTTCAGCCATCACCTCTGTGAACACCTGGTGTTCTTTTGAGCAGAGTTTACATCTCAAAGGTCATATTGATGCCTGTGGCCTTGAAAATTTATTTTCAGCCTTCATTTTAGCTCTGTGGTCTCTTTTATTTTGAATAGATACATTTCATCTGCATGCTTTATGTATAGTAGATATCATAAATATGAACATAAGTGACATTGTCATGTATGACTACATCAGTACACATTTGTGTATGTTCCATAGCCAACAAAGGAAAAGCTATGACATTTAAGGGTCTCCTGTATGCAGGGTTATGAAATCCTAGAGACACATTGTGTAGAGGCGATTAAAATAGAATTTTAGGCAGACTGACTTCGGGTCAGATGACAGCTCCCTGGGGTATTAATTGCATCCTGGCAGGCTTGTGGATTGTTAATGGAACCATGACAACATCTGGGTCTCAGCTCTTCCATCAAAGCTTGGACACACTGGACAGTGTGTCCCTCCTACGCATTAAAGTAAGTCTGTTTGGTTGTGAAATGGCTCCATTATTAGACTCTTAGGAGACAGAGCACACATTCTCCCCACTCAGGGATGCAGTAGCTATAGAGTTTCCTGTGAGTGGGTTCCCCTAGCAGTATGTAATTGTCCACAGTTTGTAAATAAGGACAATGAGCAGATGAGGCTTCCCGTTTGGGTCCTGAAGGTGCATCATTTCATCTGAAGGGATCATTGGCAATTTTGGTCCAGTGTCCATAACCGAAGGAAAGGCATCACCAAAAACTCTACCCCACTTCTTCAAGGTAGATTTATCCGTTGTTTACCCCAGGGTCCTTGTTGGACATACGCATCCCTCCCAAGGCTGCCAAGACATCCATTACTCCATCCTCTTGCCCGCCTAGTAGGATGGGTCTTGGCGGGCCATGTTTCCAGGTCCGGTGCCTGCCTGCCCTTTGCTCTGCCGGCTCTGAGCAGGGCTCTGGCTGGTGCAATAGCTGTTCACTTTCTGCCACCTAGTGGTGATTCGTCTCACACTTCTTTTCGTCTGTTACTTAGGAGGTTTTCTGCTGGATTTACAGGCAAACTGAAATGATGCATGTGTTTGGGATGGGTTAATAATGTGTCCAGAAGACAGGATGCTGCTGTTGGTTTGTTCATTTGGTTGGTTGGCTTTGGGACGTGGAAGACCTTAACTTAGATCCACTGGAACTGGCAGTACCCTAAAGGATGTGTATATGTCTGTCCATCTGTCTCTCTCATACACACATACCCCAGAAATCAGATCTGTGATCATTTTTTTCTCTTTGTAGCTTAGAAAGAAAGTCAGTCCTTATGATGGGACAATCACATAAGCCAGAGGTTCTCATTCAGGGGCAAGTTAGCCCCCTTCCCCACCCCCAGGGCATTTGCCAATATCTAGAGACATTCATGCTTGCCACAAGTTCAGGGAGGCAGGTGGCTTCCTGGCTTCTAGTGGGTAGAGAGCAGGGGTGCTGCTAAACACCGCACCATGCACAGGATGCCCCACAGCAGATACATATCTGGCCCAAAATGTCAAGTCCCAGCGTGGAAAGCCTGCGATAAACCATCCGGCTCTGCATCTTGCTCTCCCACATGGGCACTCTCTCTCTCCCTCCCGCTCTCGCTCTCGCCCTCTCTGTCCTCTGTCATGTCATGCAGTGCACATGTCCCTCCCTTGCTTGGCATCAGCCCCCCTGAGAATGCAGCATGGGCTCTTTGTCGGCCATGCCCCCTCTTCCCTCGGCCAGCCTGGACTTCCCCATGAACGGGCCTGGGAGAGCCTCCCTGCACCTGCCTTACACTTCAGCAATACCCTTGGAGCCAAACCAAGCTATTCTTCTAAGATGTACTCCCATCATCTCATGGAAGGGGGCGGGGCTGGGGCACCATGCACAGTGGGAGTCTCCAGTGAGCGCCTGTCCTTTTGGGGGACCTCAGTGTTCATGTCCGTCTGCTGGTCTCCTCGCTCCCCCAGTGAGCTGGAGGACTTCGTTGAAGACCTGAAGAAGGACTCCATATCGCCTAGCCGAGTGGTTACTCTAAAAGACGTGGAAGATGGGGCCTTCCTCCTACGGCAAGTGGGTGAAGCTGTAGCTACCCTGAAAGGTGAGCTTTCTCGCCCAAGGGAGACGTGTAACATGCGTTTCCTGAGATGTTTGAAAATTTGTCACATAACCAAGGATTCATGCACTCCTGTGCCAAGTATTCCTCGGACTCCTACCTGGGCCGGGCGCTATCCTAGGTACTTAAATGACATCTCTGAACAAGGTAGGCTAAGGTCCCTGTCTTCCTGGAGCTTGCGTTTTCATGGGTGCTGTAAGGTTTAGGACTAAGTGAGACTAGTGATCATTTCTCTCCGCCGGCCTCTCACCATGTGCCAGGGCACCCATGCCAAATTCATGAAACACGACCCAAAGGGACAATTGGCCTTGTCCCAAATACACAGAGAGGAAGTGAGGCCTGGAGGAGCTTTGCCCTTTTGCCCATGGTCAGTTTAAACCCAAATCTGTCTAACAGTCCTCTGCCTCCTGGACATGTGTGGGTCCCAGTGTGGCTGGTGGGGGGATGGCGGGTTGATGTTCTGGCTTTTTCTCCTATGACTCACCAGCTGCTCTTGGCCCGCAGGGGAGTTTCCAACCTTACAAAACAAGATGCGCGCCATCCTGCGCATAGAGGTGGAGGCCGTGCGGTTTCTAAAGGAGGAGCCGCACCGGCTGGACAGTCTCCTGCAGAGGGTTCGGAGCATGACTGACACGTTGACCGTGCTGCGGAGGTAACCGGCCGCCGGAGCACAGCAGGCGTGGGGGGCACGCGGGGAAGGTTGGCGGCTATGATTTGGACTCCCCGGCTCCTCTGTGCTCCTGGGACCTGTCTCCATGTCGCCATGATCACTCCATACTTCCGGTATCCTGAGAAGAGATGGAAACTCTTCCCACCATAAACATCCTGTTGTGTATCTCTTAGGTCCTGGTTCCTCCAGTAGGCTGCATTTGGCACATCCTGGGGCTTAGAATTCATAAATCAGCAAACACTTCCTAAAAGTCACTGGAAGGTGGTTCTTTTTTCATAACATTTTGTAGTCGAAGAATGGATCAAAATATTTTATTAGCTCCCTTCACTTCAGAGGTATAGATTATTTCAGTTAGAATAAATGAGTGGGCATAAATAAAGCTGCCTTTTAATTACCTATGTAAAGGGTGTCTGAGCGATTGTTGGTCCCACCTAGAACTGAGAAAGGAACCCCTTGAGTGGCATGGGCCAACCACCCTGACCAAGGATGTGCTCGCCCATAAATAAAGGTCAAGCAGAAGAAAGAAATCACTGCCTCACCCACAGCTGTTACCAAGGCCCAGTCATAAAGTGCTGACATATACACAGTCAGGATTTGTGTTACCGGAAGCACCTTTATAAATGATACCTCATAACACTGTCTACTCTATTTTGGGGTGACAATTAGGTCTTTTTCTTCTCAACACAATCATAACAATAGCTTACATCTATAAGCACTTTCTGTGTATTAGGCACCAAACTAAGCCCTTTACAAATATTAGCTCCTTTGGTCATAATAAAAAACCCTACAGGGCAGGCACTGTTGTTCCCACTGTGTAGGTAGAATCTGAGGTTGGGGTGGGTTCACTGCAGGTACGAGGCTGGGCTACCTATAGATAGGAACCCACAATTCAACCAGAGCTGCTTTGATCTCACAGCCAGGCAGTCAGGAATATTTAGATATTCTGTCTGCTCCAGGCCTGGTGTTGGGTGTTAAAAATATAATAAGACTAATAGAATCTCTGCCCTTATAAAACTTCCTCTCTTGCATGGAAAATGGACACAGCTACTAAAAATGAATGACTTCCCAACAGTGGCAGACTCTGAGTTTTCAGTTTTTTACTAGAACTAGAAAACTGCAGAGACACATTACCTTCAAATTTTATACCAGGTTTGAAAGCAGGTCACAAACAGAAGTAGTGTATATGGAACTTTCTCGGGAGAATTTCAATAGCTAACTGCAGTCATTTGATCAGATTTGTAAGATAAATATATTAAACATGTAGTTGACTTTTAGACAAATTATTGGCCACAAGGAACATGTGAGATTTTTCTAGTTACAAATGACCTCAAGGAAGAGCCTCTTTTGAGATGAAAACACTACAAAGGTCTGTAGAATTGCCTGCCTAAGTTGCAGGATACCAAAGGAATTCTGATTGAAATAGAAGCCTCCCCCTACACAGACCACACCTGACTGAGTACAGGAAGAAATTGTACCTGAATTACATTTTCTCATACGTTCACTCATTTTAAACTGCTCGAGTGAACTTTTTCTGGCAGGAGGACAAAGACCTGTTAAAAGAATTCTTCAGTAAGCTCTTACCTAAATGCCGTAACCCATCCACGAAGCCTAAAACAAACCATCCTTATTAAGGGGACAAACAGAGCACGCTAGCATTCTCTCTGCTCTTCCCAAAAAAACAATGAAAAGAAAATGTTAGAGTAGAGTGGTGAAGCAGAAGGAATTGGAATATAAACTGCCCTCCCAAGGTGTTTGGCAGTGAACAAAGAAGAGATGGGGAGTTTGGGAAGCTTTGGGGTTAGAACTTAGTATCTTTGAGAGCTGTCTAGGTCAAGACCAGGTGGAGGTGGCACTGTCTAGACTCATGTTCACTTTCCGCCACAATCTCAGTGCAGCAGTGCTGCTGGGAAGGGAAAGGCAGGCCGTCTCCCTGGGGAAGGACGGTGGGAGCAGCTGCCAGAGATAACTAGGGGGCAATTCAAAGGTTTGGGGAAGTTGCTATGGAAACTCTCAACCCTGAGCTGCTACTCCAGGTTTTAGAATGTCTTAATTTTGCAACAAATCATGCCCAGCTGTGAGATGACACAGCATTCAAGTTACCATAACAATATAATGCAAGTTACCCTCTTGACAAAAGTTCATGCTTCTGTACCTGGTTTCTTCCAGACATGTCACCGATGGGCTCTTGAAAGGTACAGATGCAGCCCAGGCTGCACAGTATGTCGCCATGGAAAAGGCCACCACTGCAGAAGCCCTGAAGAGCCAGGAGGAGGCACCCCACAGTGCCGGCCGGCCCCTCCCCGGCACGGGAGTCCCTGGGGACATGAAGTCGGAAGTGGTGCCCTTGACCGTTCACCAAGCACAGAGCTCCCCCGTGGTCATGCAGCCATCCCAGCTGTCTTCCAGCCTGCTGAGCCCTGCCCCGCACTTGTCGGGGGGGACTGGTGCTCACCCCGCCAGCCCTGCAGCCGTCGCACAGGAGGGGACCTCAGCTATGCAGCCCACACAGGCTCCGCAGTCTCCTCAAATGCCAATGAACGGCTCGGCCATGCAGAGCTTGTTCATTGAGGAAATCCACAGTGTGAGCGCCAAGAACAGGGCAGTGTCTATTGAGGTAGAGTCCTGTTTCCATTTCTTTGTAACCCTGTAAAGGAGTGGAACACACACAGTCCTTTCCCTCAAAGACCTTCCTGTCTCATTGTAGAGATAATGCATGTGTGTCAAAGACATAATTTCATCATGCATCTATTCTGTACATATATACACACTAGATAGATTTTTAGAACTGTGAATGGGTTTCAGTGCCAGATTAAGAGAAAGGTCATGAGATTTCAGAGGAGGGTGAAGCACCCTTCCCTGTAGGAAGTTGGGCAGTGTCGTGCTGGTAAACACCACCAGCTCTCCAGTGGGAAAAGCCCTCATCTGTAGCATTTGCTCATTTCTGGGGAGCCAAGACTCCCCACGGTGGCTGGTTTTGACTCGCAACATGACATCGCTTAGCATCACCATTTGGAGGAAGCATGGCGTTCGCTCTCTCCAGCCAGTGTGTGTCGGCTCAAACATAGCACTGGTGAATGCAGACCCAGGGAGGGCTTGCCACTGACTGAAAAATAAACAGAATCTGGGTGAGCCGAAGAAGGCAAGGAGGGCATTCTAGGACAGAGGGATGCCAGAGCAAAGGCTAAGACGGTCAAGAGTAAGAAAGGGAGGTAAGCCTTGTCAAACAGGCTGAACCTTGATTTAGCAGAGCTTGAAAACCAGTAGGAATGTCTAAAGTTTTCTGTGTAGGTATCCAGGAAATGCCACAGCTTGGACCAGTGATAAAAAATGGCATCTTCAGAAAACAAATCTGAAAGAGTATGCAGAACTGATTGAGGTGAAGGGTCTAGAATTAAGGGTGCTGGATGGGAAGTTAGTACAACAGTCTCCCGATGCAGGGGGAGGCAGTCAAAATGGAAAGAGAAACTAGGTCTCAAGGTCACACAATTTAGAGAGAAAACATCCTGTGTTTTTATATATTCTCTCTATTGGAGCCGGTGAAACAAAACAAATATTTTGTTTCCCCAACGTTCTCTTTCCACCTGCCCTTCACTGGTCACTGCATCCCCAGCAACCTGGCACTAATCATTCCTGCCTTGCCTACAAGTCAGCAGTGGGTAAGTCAGGTTCTGAGAGGAGGTGGCCTCGTAAAACGGCGAAGGCTACAGTCATGGCAACTGGGCCTCTGAACGTGAGGCAGCTTCTCTAGGCTCCAAAGCCAGTGGCTGTGCCCCTGATCCAAGTCAGCCCATTCCCGAAATGCCGATGACAGGAGGGGGTGGAAATGGGATTGGCTGGCAATGGTTCTGTCATGTCATGCTGAAAGGCGCAGGGGAGAAATGAAACACATTTCCTCCTGAGAGTGAGTGGATTTTCCACTCTGCACATCTCCATGTTTAAAAGGTGTCAGTAGGATGACTACTGGATAACTCTTTTGTTTAACAAATATCTACTGAGAACCCACTGGGTGTAGTTAGCATTGCTGAGCATGTCTTTTAAGCTTTGATGGGGGACTTATGAGTCATCCGAAAATGTCTTCAGCCTTACTGCCAGCTCTGCCTCTGACGAATGACATGAGCTTCATTGATTCAGCAGATACTACCGAGCCCCACCATGCACCAGGCCCGCAGAGGCTCTGCAGTAGACAGTAAACAGAAGAGACAAAGGCCATGTCTGAGAAACTTAGCTGCTTGTAGGGAGAAACAGAGAACCAGTATATGCCAGATGATAACAAATGCTAGGAAGGAAAAATAAAGGAGGGTCAGGATGGTGGTGGGGCTGTTACTATATAGAGTGAGTCCTGGCACACTCCGTACCTCCCCAGCCCCCACTGTTCTCAAGTGTAAAGTGTGTTGGTAAAATGATTTCCAAGGTCTTTTCAATGCTTACATTATGGGGTTCCATTAATCCTGGTGCTAATTTCCACTCTGCCCTCCTAGAATGATTAACGTACCATCTCAAAATACAGGAAAATATTCTTTTCAAAATGTGCAGGTCTTTTAAAGTACATTTATGTATTTCTCCCCATTATAGAACTTGATGGAGCATAGAGGTCTTCTAAATAACCTCCCACTGTATAAGTAAGAAAATTTGACCCAGAGGTCACAGAGCAATTCTTTGATAGAAGTAGGATTTTGTTTCTGTTTGTTTGAACATCTCCCCTCCAATAAAAAGTCACTTTTGAAAATAAAACCTTGGTTATGGGATACAAACCTTTGGAAGCATACCTCTGTGTCCCTTTTTATTAGTATTGGTAGGAGTATGTTTTAAGTGCTCAGTAGTAATTGAATGAATGAATTTGGGTCTCTGAGTTCGCTTTCTATGAATGAATATCACTTGGGCTGAACAGCAGCTCCTTTTGCAGACTATTGCGGCAGATGGCACAGGGGTTGGGTTTGTCTGAAGCGTCACAGAAGGAAACCAGAGCATCATTTTACCAACACTTTGTGTTTCACTTCCTCCTACCCTGGTGTGAAATCTCCAAACAGTTCATTAGCTTTTTCCCTCTGCTTTTTAAATTTTCTTCACATGCTATTTCCCTTAGAGAGCAGAAAGGAAATGGGAAGAGAAAAGGCAAAATTTGGACCACTATAACGGGAAAGAGTTTGAGAAGCTACTAGAAGAAGCTCAGGCCAATATCATGAAGTCAATTCCAAACCTGGAGATGCCACCAGCCTCAGGCCCACAGCCAAAGGGTGATGCTCCCGCGGACAAGCTGGAATTTTCCGGTAAGGTCCTCAAATTGCTGGCTGCCCCCAGTCAGTGTGCTGTCACCCCCTTGAGCACGTGCTGGCCAGTGGAACCAGTCTCTCACTTCTTAAGAGTCCTGGGAAATTTTTACACTGGGAGAACAAATCCACAGGTGCCTAGATTCTCCCTTCTGCTTTTTAACTATAAGCAATGACAGGAAACTGTTCTGTGTTAGATACTAGAACAATGCCCAATAAGGTAAAATTTAGATTCCCAACTCCTGCATTTCCTCTGAATTGATGACACTTCACAGCACCAGCTGGGAGAATAAGAGGCCCGCATTTAAATTAGAGCTTTTCATATGCTGCAGAAAGAAAATGCCAGCTTTTATGTGCTCCCAGGAAGATATTACATGGTAAGGCAAAATTGCAATATTTTAATCAAAATTATTAGACTGTATATTTAGCCAACTAAACTATGGAAGTTAAGCATCAGTGTGTCAATAAGAATATAAAACCTACTGTATCTCCTGCCAAGTACAAACCATGTGCCTTACTCTGATCTTAGAATTATGCACAAAGACATTATTTTACCTGCAGCGCAGTGTCTCTCAGAGCCACATTCAATGAGGCCTCTTCCAATAACTAAAATTAATTTGAAAAAGAATCACCATCTTGCCTTGCATGTCAAGGAACATGAAAGTGGATACAATTTATAACCATTATAACAGTCCTCCCAGGTTCTCATTCCCCGAAAACTGCTCTGGAATCCTACTTACTGAAGCTCTTCCCCTGAGACCCTGCTGTTTTTACCTCCCTCCCCTTCTGCCAACTGTGTCTGGCTTCTCTAGGGACCCTGGAAGGTGGGGCAGCAAATGCCAGGAGAGGGAAGGGCCCTGGAAACAGCAGCCTGCTCTCCCAAAGATGGCTTTTCTCCAAAGTTCCCATGGAGAATGTCTGATGGGTAAAATGACCTATCTCATTATGTTTCTATCTGGCCTAATTCAGTTCTCCTCAGTATTAATTTTCTCACATAGGCCTTTGATGTTTTGTAATTATAAATAAATTATCATCATTCCTTCTCATGATTGTACAACAAAATAACATTCCACTTTGGCAACTTACCTCATTTGGACTTTTTATTCTTTCAGACTTTAAGGCTCTACATAGTTATTTTTTAAATTATTCCCCAAAGTATTTTTTATTCAGCTAAAATGTTCTTACTGCTTTTGTTTTCTTTTTTAATACATGGTCTTATTTCTTGTCTGAAAGATTTCACTAGTGTACAAGCCACTACATTGCTTAAGGGTATCATCTGTTACCTGTAAATGCCGGTTTCTACCATGTTTATTTATTTGGCATGGATGGTATTGTTATTATTTATTTTTGTTTACTGAGGTAAAATCCTAAGCATAGGGTTTTAATTTATTTCCTCTTGGGTGAGTTGTCTGATTACTTAAATAATGAGGAGATGGAGAGCTCTCAAAAATCAATGGAAAATGTGGGGGATTGTGGCCTCAGTCCGTGTTAAAGACAAATTATTCACCAAGGCATTTGTTAACACAGCAAAGATGTCACTCAAGACTATTGGTATGGGGGAGAGAAATTGTACTCAGCTCTGAAGATAACAAATCAAGAGAAGGGGATTGCTGCTTACCTGACTTAGCTGGATTCTTTGCTAAAACTGGGCTGAGCAGTGCCAGGCCAAGGCCTGGTGGTGAAGGGACCCGAGGAAGCCCAGCTGAACTGGCCAAGGAGGGGGATTTTGGCATTACTCATGAGAGGAGAGAGCCTGGCTGGAGCCAGCCGGCCTGTGCCAGGCCCTGTAGGGACCCACAAAGCCGAGGTGGCCATCCCAAGGAACCAGCCAAATAGCCTGCAGCTGAGCACCCTTGTGTAGGCAGCAGGCACCGTGCAGATCACCATGGCATTTCACCCTGGCGACTTACCCACATCTCTTACAACTTTAAAAACTGCTCAAGCCACTCCTCTAAACAACCCGTCTAGGTGGCTCACAAAAGAGAAACGCACTCGTAAGGGGTCACACTATGCCCTGGGGAGAGCTGGGACAGGCCAGGTAGCTGGAAGCTCCAGCCCTGACTTCTGGGTTCTACTGCTTCAGCGGGCGCTTAGGTTAGTAAACAGAAGTGAGGAATGTTGGTAAACGGCAGGGATGAGGTTGTTTGGGTTTTCATTAAAAAATGCCTTTTCTAAGGAACACTGAGCAGATGTCTGCATCTCCTACCCTTTCATGTCAGTATACTCATTTATAATTCTCTAATTTCTGTGAGCAATGAACCTTTTCCACCCACATAATCATGATCAAAAATCTACTTCTCCCCTGACTTGATTTCCAGTTCCCGTCTGCCTTCCACTGTACTGTTAACACCCCTAGCGCAAATCCCTCCTGCTAACACTGTCTTTCAGACCTGAGAGGGATGAAGGCGTTGGAGGCCATGCAGGGTGCTCCGGGTTTGCCTTCAGCCTCTGTAATCTCTCATCTCTCCAAGTAATACTCAGCTTTTTGTTTAATAACAATAACTGATATTTGTGTAGCATTTACAGTAAGCCAGTAAGCACTATGTTAAATGTTTTATGGCTAATTGGTCATTTGAGCTTTATAGCATCCATATTATTATAATACCCATTTAGCAGATGAAAAACTGAGGCAGAGAGATTAATTAACATGCACAGGGTCTTTCTAGGATTTCAAGCCAGTTGGGCTTCAGGGTCTATACCATTAATCATGGCACTAGGAGAGAATAGAGAAATGTTTTAAGTCAGAATGCATTGAGCTTATAAAAATACACTGCTCTGGACCTTATCTTGCAAAGAGATTATTCTGTAATGACACACTGTTTTCCAGAAGACTCTCCAAATTCAGAACAGGACTTGGACAAGCTGGGGGCTAAATCGCCCCCTCCTCCTCCCCCACCCCCAAGACGGAGTTACCTGCCCGGATCGGGGCTCACCACCACGAGGTCCGGCGATGTGGTCTACACCAGTAGGAAGGAGAACACCGTTGCTAAGGTCTGATGGGTTACGCTCTAGTAAAGTGGTCTCTGGGCTCAAATCACAGGTCTTCTCTATCCTCATTAGAACATAAAATGTGGTAAGCAGAGTAGAGAATGCATTAAACTAGATCACCAGGAAGCACCAAAGACTGGAAAATGCCAGCTGGTGTTACTGGACTAGACTCAGTGGCACGAGTTTTGTTCATCCCCACTTGACTTTCAGCTGCAGCAGTGTTAAATGCAAATCACCAGCTCCTTTCCCCAGAAAGGCATCCTAAGATTGAAAACAGGGATAAGAGGGGAATCAAAAGAAAGGTAACTGAGATTAGCTAACAGTGGCAGGAGTCCACACAGAAAGATGTTCCACAAGTGTTAGCTTCCACTTAACTTGGCAGTTTCGTCTTTTGTGTTAAATGCAAAATACAATTTCCAAGGAGATGTCGTAAGGGAGGGGCTTTCGTTAAGGCACTGAATGTTGAGGAGTCATAATTTTATTATAATTCTTTTATCCATCCACCAAATGACAGCTTGCGCAAACAAAAACTCAAACTAGACTCATTAGAGCCTTTCAGCTTTTTCGAAGAGCCAGGAAGCCGATGTACCAGGCAGTGAGGGAATACGTGTCCTGTGGCCAGCACAGGTGTTAAGCCACTGTCTGTGGTTTGACTCTCCCATAGGCGAGCAGTGAAGATGCTGGACCAAGTTCACAGGCTCGAGCCACAAAATGTCCAGCAGAGGAGCCTGCATCAGCCTGGACTCCACCCCCACCACCAGTTATAGCCTCCTCCTCAAAGGATGAAGAGGAGGAGGAAGAAGGAGACAAAATAATGGCAGAACTCCAGGTATGTGGAAGAGGTGACTGACTATGGCTCCGTCCCATCCCATTTCGGCCTCTCTGGCCACGCCTCTCCCAGGTTCATTAGCTAGAGCAGGCTGGCAAGGCGCCCCGGGGACCTGGGCCCTGGCAGTTGCGTCTTCTGGCCCGGGCCTCTCTTGTCCAACGTGGCACCAAACTAGGTCCTCAGGGCGCCTCTGAGATGTGTGTCAGGAGTGACCCTTTCACAAAACAGCTCAGGAAGTTTATACAAAAAATTGTAAGCTTTCCTAGCTCTGGCTGGTAGGATTTACTTTCTTTCAGTCTGGTTAGAAGTTGGGTTAGAAATACCATTCACCATCTTGTCTTGATAAGGACTGATTAAAGCCCAAGTCAGGGTTGGCTCGAGTACTTAGAATGACTGACCTTGAGTCATGAGACCTCCTGCCCTCTATACCACGTTCCTATACAGTGTCTGTGTCATCTTTTCAACTATCCTGAAAAGCTGAATAATCATATTTCCCATTTTCCTTGGCCTATTTGAGAAATAATACTTTATTTATTATTTTTAGGTTTTTATTTTTTAATTAATAGAAACAGTCCACTCCTAGGATTAAGGATAGGGTACAGGAGCTGTGCTGAAAGCTGATTCCACATTCCAGTCATGGATATGAACCTGCCCTAGGTGAATGTTCTAAGAACTTGTCTGACTGTAGATAAGATATGCCATTCCTGACCAGTGTCCATTCTTAGAATATTTCCTCTTGGCCCATGCTTACTGTAGAGTTTTGTTGCCCTTCAGTCAGACCACACCTCCTTATGGCTCCATAACACATTGCCTCTTCACCAGTGTGCCAGTGGCTTTCTGCAGACCCATGGGTCTACATGCTTCCTTTGAAGTAGGGAAAATGTTCAGACCGTGCCATTCCCCCCACAGCTGTTCTGCTTTGCTTTCCATGGTAGCAACTTCCAAAGTAACTTCCAGGGCTGCTTGGGTTTTACAGAGGTACTGGCTCATTGTCACATGTGCAACCCCTTCTGAGCCTCATGGAAACTCACAGACTGGCCTGAAACATCCCCTTCACCAGCACATTATTGACAGGTTTTAGAATGTTTGGAAAATTTCATTCACAGGAGCCATAGATTTATAAAGTCAGTGACTCATAAAATAGTTGAGTGCATGAAGAAATCCATCACTCAGTTATCCCATGAGGATGTCTGGCTAATGACAGTGGCATGACAAGGCTGCTTGTTGGGGATTAGTGTTTGTCCTAAAATGTGTGGGCAGATTCTGGGGCCATTGTTGAAGCATCTGCCCCAAAGTTACAGTGTGACTTAATCATGGCCCAGTTTGGTTGAAGAGGATGACAAAGCAGTAGATAATTTTAAATCTGTGCACAGTGATCACTGCTACTCAGAGAAGTATAGACTCCTAAACTTGTGAGAAATTCTGCCCTGGCCGCCTAAGAGAAGTCATGTATTTGTTCAGCCTCTCACCTGAGACTGTTCCCTTCCACTGAAGTCTAAATATCCTTGATGCTTTCTTTGACTGAATGCTTTACAAAGGGTGGATTATCTAGCTTCTTGTTACATTATTGGTCATTAGGTAACAGTGGCAAATGAACTGGTCTAACCCTAATTCAACCAAACCTAGTTAGTCCCCTTGCTGTGGTAAGGACCCTGCCTGTTGCTTCAGAAAGTGGGCCAAGGGCCAGTGGCTGAGCCACTTCCTTGTCTTCTGCAGGCTGTGGAGTTAGATTCCCCCAGAGGCAGGACAAGGAACAGGTGCAGCCCCTGCGTATACCTGTGGAACAGTTTGCCTGTTCTGTGTCACCAGGCAACAGAAGAAACCACAGGCTCCAAAGTGCAGGGTCTAACAGCCCAAGGGAGATGGCCACTGGCCTGAATAAGCAGAGCCCTGGGCGCCTCCAGGCCAGCCAGTCGTGGGGTGTCTCAGGGGCACAAGGAGGGAGCCAGTGTGACAGGAAGAGGGAGCAAGCGGGGTAGCAGGAAGAGCAGCTGGCAGGGTCGCTGGCGGCAGCACCGTCTGTGCGTTGGGACCCGTGCTGAATGGTCCCTGGAGAGGTCATGGCTTATCCTTCTGCTGGCAGAGTTATTTCCAAGTGACAGTATTTAACACTAAGAAAATGGGAGGCAATTATTTGAGATGATTCATTTAAATAAGCAGTCTTTAGTCCTAGCTGTGCATTAGGATTACTGGGGAGTTTTTAAAAAGTCCTCTAGCTCAGAGGCTCTTACTTAATTATCCTCTGGGGGAGGTCTGGGCAACAGTATATCTTTTTAACTGGGCGATACGTAGCCTGGTAGAGAACCACTGATTTCAAGAGGCTTGAGTGTTTGGGTCCTCCACTCCCTGCTTTCACCACCATGCTGCTCCTCCCCACTGCCCTGTAGACAAAGCCTATGCTCTCCCTCCAGGAGCTGGCCAGCCTCGCACAGTGTTCACGTGAGCCGGCAGGGCCGTGGCCGCGGTCATGAGCTTTCAGAGACCAGTCTGCAGGGCCCAGGCATCTCCTAGCTCACTCAGAGCCCCACGAGTGTTAATGAGCCTCACTTTATTCTAAATGAGCTTCAGAACACCTCAAAGCACAGGAGAACCTGCTACTATGGCAGACAATGAATTGGTAAGGTTACCTTCATTTTAAGGTTTAAAGGTTTGCATTATCTTGTGCAATTTCTCCATACCCCCAATAAAACTGGTAAAAAATAATAAGAGAAAAGAAACAGCTTCTTGTTTTAACTCATTTACATATTCAACATTTTTTAAAGGTCAGAGCCCTACTAAGTGCAAACCAGATTCACCCCAGATGGGAAGAAAGGCTGTCCTTTTCTAGGGCTCTGTCCTTGATCATGGTGTGGCTCAGAACAGAAGGAGGACTTTGCCCCGGGCTCAGCATTGAGCTCTAGGGGCCTGAGGGGAAACGGAGAGCTAGTTTTCAAGGTGCTGCTTCCCTGGCCCTGGCGTGACCTGCATGCAGGACCCGGCTGAGGTCTCCACGCCCCTGGGCTCCCCGTGTGTTCTCTTCTCCTTCCTCCCCCAACCCGATCCCTGTTAACCTCAGTATTTTAATTCCTTAGGCATTCCAGAAGTGTTCCTTTATGGATGTAAATGCAAACAGTCATGCTGAGCAGTCCCGGGCTGATAGTCAAGTTAAAGACTCTAGGCCGGGGGCCACGGTCCCACCCAAGGAGAAGAAGGTAACGTGGCAGTTATGTGTTTGCCACGCAGTCGGATGGCCTTCTTTCCCTGCTGAAACTAACACACTCCTGCGCTTGTCCCGTGCTCTCTTTTCTTCTCTCCCCTTTTTTTGTTAAACTACTGGAGACAGCTTTCAGTGTAATCAGAGACACCTGGCTCAGGTTTCAATGTCAATTCTATGTTCCCTTGCACAGCATACTACAGTACATGCAGAACCTAGGCCTTATCTTCCCAAACTAATGAGTACATACCCGTCAAGATTTTTCTAGAACAACTGTAGAAAATAACAGAAATATCAACCGAGTATGTAGCACTTTTTCTCATCTTTAACATGTTTTCTGGACCAAAAGCATCTACATTAAAAGTAGGTGAAGGCCTTAGTCTGTAGGAAGCAAATGCATGGCAGAGCTGTATACCTGACACCACCCACGTGTACTCGTGGACACCTACACATGTGTATTTACACACATGTTCAAGGATTTAAGATGGAATTTTTGTCAAGTATTACAAATTTCTCAAAGTCTACCTTCCAAGTTAGTAAGTTCCATATAGTTTTGGTGCTAATATACACTGTGGCATTCTAATGGCTTCAAAACAGATGTCCTGGCTCTGAAATAAAGTCGGTTGTCATTATAGAAGTGCTTTATGGAAACGAACATTAGCCTGGGTGTTTGAATTTTTAACTTTTGAAGTTAGATCTAGAGCTTTGATGACTTCTGGATATAGAGCCATCATATTTGAATGAGGCCTCTGTCTAAATTTCAGGACAAATAGCTTATCATTGACTGACTTAAGTCCTAACATTTTTTGCATTTTTTGCAAGAACTTGTAATTCAGAATTCAAAGGTTCTAGGTTCCCTTAAAGCCAAACAGATAGAAAGCCCAACACCTACTCCAAGTGGATACATCCTTCTGTGTATAAGTAAGCTCAGTGAGGGAGATGCAGGATCACAAAATCAGAGAGCAGTTCTAACACAGCCCTTCAAGAGACGGAGTCCTGGGACATTTAGCTCCCAGCCCATGAAGCCTGCCAAGGGGAGCGGCCTGCTCCTCCCTGGCTCCAGGCCACTGGGGGGCCCTCGTGTAAACCATGTCTGCCACGTACTGCCATGTGACACCGTTATGCTGCAGGAAGTCTCTCTACGTACCGGGGAACATGATGAGATTATTGTTGGTAAATCTTTCCTATGAAGAAAACCTTCTAATAATTGGACTGAAACCCATGACATTACATTGGATGTATTGCATTTTCAGCCTGTGGTATTTTTTATGTGGCCTTATTAAAACCAACTCATGGAAGACCATATCCTGAGTGACATGGCATACACTCAGGCCCATGTGACTTTCTGTCTGAAACACTGGGGCCTGAGAACTTCTTTAAGTTCCCTCTAAAGACAGTCATCACCTCACTGTAGAATTTTCTAATTAGCTGAAACATTGCATGAGATTTCTTGCCCTGCCATTAGAAATCTATATCCCATCTATCTCATTTATCTTGATCAAGAGTCCATCAGCTAAAATGTACGTCTGTATGGAGAGCCCCACACTGGGTTTAATCACAGGTGTTTTTCTGGATAATTATGCACAGTAGACTGATCAATTTCATAATAACCGTGAGTGTCAGACTTGTCCCCCAATTTTTGTCATTATTCCTGGGCTCTTCACCTACTCTTCAAGAGCTCAGATGTTTCTCAGAATTGTTCCCCTGTCGCCGTGGACCGCTAGCCTGGTACTTCACTTTCATGCAATTTGCCTGTAGCTCTGTCTCTAATTTTGGTTTATTGCCCATGTGCATATTGAACCTACCTCACAAGTGGTCTGAACAGCCTAAGTCTTGGGGCCTATAAACAGATATTACTGAGGCATGATGACCTTTCATGTAAAGTTTTGACTCTCTAAGAACTAAGAAACCATTATGAGATTACATGACAATTGTGACCCTGGATAAAGTCACCGTGGATAAAGTCAGTGCATTTTCAATACATTCATTGTTTTTTCTACCCTAGTGGCAACGTAATAGGTCATATAAAACTGATGCTTGACATCTTTGTCTTGGTGACTTTCCATGGACATACTCCCACTGCTACATATAAAATCCATGTATCGCTCGGTGACATTTGAAGTATTTCATGATGGGTATGGTGTGGGCCCTCGACCAGTCAGCACAGATGCTGGCCCTAAGCCCCAGGACATGGGCCAGCGGAACGGCAACCGTGCTGGCCTTATCTTTGGATTATATGCCAACTCCTTCTTTGCTTCAAGGGTAAATTCTCACTTAGGTCCTAATGTGATATGCGAACTCCAATTTTGGAGTGCAAGCCTTAAACTGAAACCTTATTTATTTTTCTTCTTAAAACTTCTCACTTTATGTGTTTGTTGTTTGGTAATCTAAAATCCCACCAAGATATCAAATTGTTCTACTGCAGCAGCTGAATCAGGGTGCTTGCCTGGGGGCCTTCTGGGGATGAGGGGAAGCTTGGTGGCAAATACACCTCGCATCCTGTGCGGTGTATCTGTGTGATTAACACTGACTCTGCTGTTTGTGTGTTAGCCCTTGAATGTGTATGAACCTCTTTTCCATTTTTAACAGGGCAGTAGAATTTCTCTGGGTTGGCTCTGGAGGGGCCTGAGTTATCGTGCCCTGTTCAGTTGCTGTGGCTTTAATCATACAGCCTCCCTGGGACTGTGTCCCACCCTGCTGTAATCAGCCCTTCCTCTTGGGGTCTGCAGCAAGACGGCAACAAGGCCTTGGAAGCAAGCTGGCCCCTGTTAGCACTGGGGCAGGGCCCAGGCTGCTGATACACGCGTGCCGGGAAAGGTCCTGCTTTCCAGCAAGACACCCACTATGCCTGGTCCTCACTGGATTTTTATAGGCTGCACCTTGCTGAGAACCCCAGAAGGGTATCTTCTCTCTGTATCAGAGAGTACAGAGAATAAATGCTGGATTGTAACGTCACAGTCCCCGTTTTAGCCCCAATATCTGTTCTGTAAATGTTTAGACAGTATGTTGGCAGCATTATCATTCTGAATTTGGACTTGATTGTTATGGCTCTTACTAGTTTGAAGATTATTTTGACACTTGACTTAGCAAGTACGAACTACAAGTACACTTTCAATCTGTCATTTGACCAAGGGAAAATAATGTCTTTTTCATCTCAAAGTACCACACCCAACCAACACAGAGCCCTTATTGGACAATATCCATTAAAAAAAGAGAAGTAGAACTGAAGTAACTAGCTGGAAGGGACGTGAAAAATCTCTTGGTCTATTTCCTCAGTTTATAAGCAAGAAAAGTAAAACGACTTGCCCAAAGTAACACAGTTGACTGGCAGATCTGCATTAGAATCAGAATCTTCTGCCTGCTGATAAACTGGGCTTTCTCCAATGCTACGCCGCTCTCCTGGTTTTAGAATCTACTAAACTCACAATCAGATGTTGGAAAGAGAACGTGTTGGTACAGAATCAATCCCTTTAGTCTCTTAACTGCTCCCCCACAGAACTTGAGATAGTTGGAATATCTTCCTAATTGAGGTTTTCATCTTGTGCAAACACAGGGCATTTTTGGAAGTTGGAGAACAAAGCAGCCCAAGGTAAACAGAGCTGTAGGCTTTGGACTGATGCATAACAAATGTGCTTGGCCCACGTGTCTTGGAAGTATAATTACAGGAACAATTTAGTTTTAGTCCACTTTGGGGGGAATGTGGTTTTGTGGAGTAACATGTCCTACACTATTCTACCAGAATTTGGAATTTTTCCATGAAGACATACGGAAATCTGATGTTGAATATGAAAATGGCCCCCCTATGGAATCCCGAAAGGTGAGTTAGATCTGTGTTCCAACCGATACCTTGCAGATTACCTTCCTTCGAAGATCCATTTCTGATTAATGTGTGTGGCTTCCCTCCTCCACTCTCCCTCTCAGGTCACTGCAGGAGCTCTAACACCTAATGACCATCCCAAGTGGGAGACAGGAATGGAGAATAGTATTTCTGAGGCTTTAAGAACATCTGAATATAAAACTGACACGTTCATGAAGGAAAATTCCATATCCACTAAGAGTGCACTTAGAGACAGTAGAAACTCTTCCCAGAAAAATGTGTCTAAGGTCCACTCCTGTTTCTCTGGCATTAGTTCCTTAGAAGATGAAATAAATAAAGGACCTAAATTCTCGGGACTACAGTACACTGTATCTGACCCTGAGAATCAGAAGATGAGTTATGGAAAGATGAAGGAGATGAGTCACCAAGGACAAGAAAATACAGATAAAAGCCACCTTCTCTCTCCCACTACATCAAGTGAACTGAGTGCTTGTCATTTCAGAACTCCAGACCAAGAGGTTCCCATGACAGAGTTGGGCCACGTTGTTCTGAGACCCAACGGAGCTAGGCATGCTAATGTGAACCCCAGTGAGGATGGAGGATCAACACCGAGTTCTCCCACAGGAGAAAATGCAGCCACTGACAACATTGCCTTTATGATTACCAAAACTGCGGTCCAGGTCCTCTCCAGTGGGGAGGTCCGCGATATCGTGAGCAAAAAGGGAGAGGACGTACAGACAGTTAATATTGATGCTAAAAAAGAGACAGCCTCTCAGCCAGAAGGGACTGAAAACGAAGAGCCCGTTGTATGCCTGGACAAGAAACCAGTTATTATCATTTTTGACGAACCCATGGACATCCGGTCTGCATATAAGAGACTTTCAACCATATTTGAGGAATGCGATGAGGAATTAGAGAGAATGATGACTGAAGAAAAGATAGAGGAGGAGGAAGAGGAGGAAAATGGAGATCCTGGGGTCCAGAATAACATTTCCCACGAGTTGCCCAAGAAAAGTGCATTGGGCAGCCCAGGGTTAGGACAGCAGGCCGAGAGTCAAATACAGCCACACCTCCCTTCTACAGAGACTGGAGCAGCAGGAGGCCATGCAATAAATGAAACTAAACTGAGCAAGTTCAGCCAAGCGGATGTCCCAAGTTCAGAAAGCAAGTGTGATGTGACAGATGACCAATTTGAAAGCCCCAAGAAAAGGTTTAAATTCAAGTTCCCTAAGAAGCAGCTTGCAGCTCTCACTCAGGCCATCCGCACGGGCACCAAGACAGGGAGGAAGACTTTGCAGGTGGTGGTCTACGAAGAGGAGGAAGAGGACGGCACTTTGAAGCAGCACAAAGAAGCCAAGCGATTCGAAATTACCAGGTCTCAACCTGAAGAGCCCCCAAAAAATACGCTTAGGAGAGAAGAGCAGCCCAGTCTGGAGAGCACATCTCTGATTTCAAGAACTGATGAAATTAGGAAAAATACCTACCGAACATTGGACAGCCTGGAGCAGACCATCAAGCAGCTTGAAACCACCATCAGTGAAATGAGTCCAAAAGGCCTAGCTGATACCTCAGGCTCTTTCAACAGAGATTCTGTTGCCAGCCCGCCCCATGTAGCCCAGGAGGCCTCTCCCCGATCCTTGCTAGTCCTGGACGAAGCTCCCACTGCCCCAGAGCCCCCCTCATCAATACCGTCAGCTACACATAAGGTATCTGGGTCTGGTGGAAAATGAGAACATGCAGCTGCTTTCTTAAATCTGCCATAATCACGATCGGCAAAAGGTGTCTTGTGATTTACTTGCTTCCTTTCAGGTGGCTTTTTTTTTTCTTTTTTGGTCTATTCGTCACAATAGCTTTCTCTCACACTTTCTCCCTCACCTTCAATACAGCGACAACTAGGAAACTAGGTGTCTAACAGCTAATCAGTTCTATGTTTACCTGTGTTGCTGGTTGGTGTTGGGTGCAAGCAAGGATGTGGGTCAGCCATTTGCTGTTGAAGTGATTGCTCTGACACTCACATTAAAATCTGTTTGATCAGTAGTGGAGCAGTTTATTCTGTTTGAGTCTTTGAATTAACCCCGATGGTGTGTCCTGATGTCCGTCTCCTAGATCTGTCCTGCATGTAGGGCTGCAGCTTCTCACACAGAGCTTCTCTGCACAGCGGGTCAGCCTTGCCAATAATGTACTCACAGACTTCTCTTTCTCTTCCTCCCTTGCTGCTGCTTCCCACAGGGCCCCGGGGGGACCCCACAGACGAGCAGGATGCCAGTCCCCATGAGCTCCAAGAGCAGACCTGGAAGCCTGGACAAACCTGGCAAGCAGTCCAAACTGCAGGATCCCCGCCAATATCGTCAGGTAGTTTTACCTTAAACCCAATTTTGGATGGACACTATTGCAGTTAAGAAGCAAGTTACTGACTTAGTTTATACCAAATATTGCATTTTCTTCATAAGATACGGTTTACATAGACATCCTGGATCTGGGGGCATGAAGAAAGTCTAAAAATCTTTGTGGAACTTTTCACCACGCTTTTGCATGCTTGCAATAAAACATCTTTGACTTTGTGACTCCAGAGTTGAAATGCTAACACAAGGGGCCAGGCCAGCTGGCTGTTCTCTGGTGAATGTAGTGGTTCATCCAGCACACCTTGGGACGCCCAAACAGACACACCCGTTGTTGACCTGTCCTGAAAAGTCCCCAGTACTAACGCCCACGGTGACTGCATCGCATTAGACGCACATTAACTCTCCAGTACGGTGACCCCCAACCCCAGAGCGCCCCAGATGCATGGCCGAACTGGCAGCCAGTGGTGGCAGCGGGATGATGTGCCTGTCTCACGACACCACTCTGCCTTTTTCCCATTCCGCACACCCTCCGCTCTGTACTTCGGGGGCTTCCACCAGGTCCAGTACAGCACAACAAGACTTAGCTCAGGCCTTGAACTGGTTTGGTTTGGTTTGGTTTCTTTTACTGAGTAATTCTCAGAAGGGCTATGTTGCCAGACCCTGTGGGTTGACGTGTTACCAGCTTTCTGACAAACTGTCTCCCGCCATCTTTATTTGCAGGCTAATGGAAGTGCTAAGAAAGCTGGTGGGGACTGTAAGCCTACTTTCCCCTCCTTACCTGCTTCTAAGATTCCAGCCCTTTCTCCCAGCTCTGGGAAAAGCAGTTCTCTGCCCTCTTCTAGTGGTGACGGCTCTAACTTCCCTAATCCACCTGCTACTAAACCGTCGGTCACTTCTAATCCTCTCAGCCCCCAAACAGGACGATCTGCTCCCTCTGCCTCCCTCATCCCCTCTGTCTCTAATGGCTCTTTAAAGTTTCAGAGCCCCACTCACACAGGTAAAGGTCACCACCTTTCATTCTCACTGCAGACTCCAAACGGCCGAGCGGCCCCTCCCTCCTCCTCCTGCCCACCCTCCCCTGCCTCCCCCACGTCCCTGAATCAAGGTGCAAAGAGCGTCAGGACCATCCACACTCCTGGCCTCACCAGCTACAAGGCACAGAATGGAAGTCCGAGCAAAGCCGCCCCTCCCACAGCAAAGGAAACCTCTTAAAGGCCAAATCCTATTAGGCACAAGTTGGAGTTACATTTTAAAACAAAAATTCTTAAGTCTTCAACAACAGTTTTCACAAGAGAATGTAACATATTGCTATACTGTTTGAGGCTTAACGCTAAGTATGTGCTAAATACTGAAGAATAGATTCAGTAAAGCTTGTTTGTTTTTTCACCTTGATGTTGTAAAATTACATGGTGTTTACTGTCTATATTCAATACCTGTTAGGTGAAGTAAGCATGTGTTACGAAAAGAGGATGGGAAGAAGAAAGCGTGCGTAAGAGACAGAAAAAAATGTATTCAGCATGTAAAACATGTATGATTCCAGAATTTTAGTATGTTTTGTATAAAAATATTTTTCATTACAGAGATTAGAAGTGAACAGAGAAATGCACAAGTGTGACTATACAAATTGTAAAGCAGATACTATAGTATTTCTTTTTATTTTAGTGTTATTCAGCTTTATTACAGATTTCTATTTTTGTCAAAACTTCATGGTTCCTTTTGAGATCTTTTCTGCCAAAACATTTTGATACTATAGCATTGTACATTTGAAAGTAGCATGCTAGACAGTAAGTCAGTGAACTTCTACACAAGCCAACATGCAGAGGCATATGTAGAAGGCAATTTACCAAACCTATTGCACTGCCATGAAAATGATGTATAATAATTTGCCAGCCCAAGCAAGCCACTTTTCTTTGCTTTTTGTTCTTTCTTTCTTTTTCCTTTTTAACATATTGGGATTCTCTAGTTGTTTTCTTTGCAGTATCTAGACCCTTCCTTTGTTTCTGATACCTGGTAACCCACACTATTGCATTGTGGATTTTCAAATGTACACTTCTGTACGGTTCTGTAAACTGATAAACTTTTGTAAATATATAAATAGACATAAAAAATACTGTATGTGACAGCACACAGAGTAGTTTTCCCACACCAAAGTTAATTTTTATGCATGCTTTAAAAATATATATTGGGATGGGCAGAAATGGGACTCCCCATACAATTTTAAAAAGTAACAAGTTTGCACAGCTAGAGTGTTTTTGTAAATAAATGTATTTGTATAACACAGTCATGTAATATACAGAACTATAAGCAGAGACTTTGCAAAACTAAATAAAGGGATGCATGCTTATTATTTTTTGTACTTTGTCCCTCTAACTGCTTCCTAGTCGAAGAACACACATAATTATTACCACATTAAATGGTTTGGCTTTCAGGGCATTATAAGTAACATGTCACCAGATACAAACTGGTTTTCTGAAAGCTTTACTTCCTGAAAAGTCTGGGGTGACTCATGGTGAGCTCCTTGTAAATTCATTGCAAGCGTGGTGCTTCTAATGTAAGCAGCTGACTCTCTTCTCTGTGGCTTATCAAGGTATGGCAAACAGACAGCAAACCGGGACGTGGAGTTGCCATGTTCATTTAACAGAGGGGCTCTTAGTACTTTACTTTTTAAATTTCCAGTGGAGGTAAAGTACATCTTTATCACTAGGACTTCTTTGAGTTTCTCAGTTTTAAGGAATACTGTTGGCCTAGAGGGAAATAGGCTAACATTGCTATATGTATTCATTTTGAAAATAGGGAGAAAAGTTAGTGAAAATAATACCAAGATTATGAACTGACTACAAGAACAGTCTCAGGAACCTGCTTAACATTATTTTTTGCCCCTGAAATATTTAACCTGGTGGCTTGATGTGAAGTACAAATATTACTGTGAGGTTAGCAGCTTTTTGTTAGTGTTCATAAGCTTCAGACTGACTGAGCTTGAATGTCTTTGCCAGAAATTTTTATTATGCCTCTACTCATTATTTTGATTGTAATCACATATTTCAGGAAGTTCTCAGGAAAATTGTTATCTTATACTTCTTAGGTATAAAAGGTTCCAACATTTCAATCATATCCCATAATCTCAACAACTACATTATGTTAAAAATAAATAAAACAGCTAGCTGATTCATGCTAGGTCATTTGCTCCTGTGTATGGACAAGCTGACACTTCTTTTTAAGAAGCTCAACAACAGATTGTGGCTCATGTTTTTAGCTGAACTTCAGAGCCCTGAACTTCCAGACCTCTGGCAAGGTTACGGAGGTGATGGTCAAGTACAGCCAATGTAATGAAGAGAAGAATGTGTTCTCTAGGTAAAGGAAAACTCAACATGGACTTAAGCATTATCCTACCCCTCAGGAAGTTGGAGAGCAATGACCATAATCGGGCCAGATGTGTGCAGGCTGCCTGTGACACTTAACAAAAAGGGACCTTGGTTCCTTTAACATCTAAAGTGGTTGATGTTAAGTAGGATGAGCTACTGGATTCTGAGATTTTGTTAAAGTACTATTAACAGGCTTTCACCACATTATCTCTTAAGATCATCATTCAACTAACAGATTGTTGCACCTGAAAAGGTTCTTAGAAAGAAATCCTGGGGGTTTCTTAGATTCATTCAATAGTTCATCAATCAGTGTGCTTGCTAGCTACATGCAACCTTGGGCATGTGTCAGTTTCCTCATCTGTTAATGGGGAAGAATAATGGAACCAGCCTCAGGATTGTTGAGAAGATTAAATGCAATGTACAGAAAGTCCTTCAGACAGAGCCTGGCACATAGCACACTCTCAAAGGTTAGTGAGAATAGCTGTCGTCCATATCGCTGCTTCCAGTCTAGTTGGGGAGGGGGAGGCACTAACATGGGCAGGCAGGGGAGTAAGACCAGCCCAGCAGCTGGCAGCAGGAGTCCAGAGGAGAGGTCCTTTCTGAAGGTGATGGCTTTGGCCCTCTCAGGCGCAATACAGAACTTTCAGTAAGCCCATTAAAGAGGCTGCTTTTCTTTTAATGCTGCTTTTGACTGGAATTCTTTCCAAAATAAAACAAAGATTTACTCCTACTTGGAGCAAAGCCTGGAATCGTGTAGGGAAGGGTAGACCTTCGGTGAGTTGTATTTCCAGGCTTAGGAGAAGGTGCTCCAGCTCATCCCACCATCAGATGGTGAAAGCAGCTGGTGCCCTGCCTGGGCTGACCCACGGATGAGAAGAGGACACACCCTCCAGGCACCTAGAGCAGATGACCTGCCCCCAGCCAGAGTCAAGGCAAACCCAGGCCACCTGCTGACTGCTTGCCTATAATTCAAACTAACTTCCTCCCCTCTCTTGGGGCTCTGAAAGTGCAAAGGCATTCAAGAGCACCCAGCTTTTTTTTTTTTTGGAGGGCAGAGGGGAACAAAGATTACTTCAAACAAAAATTCAAAAGGTAATTTTTAAAAAGTAACCAGGTGACCATTGTCCAGGAGAACAGGCCACAGGTAACCATGTGTTCTCTGCTCTGTACTGCTGAGGACCTAAAAAATAAACTGATCATCACGAGAGTACTTTTGAGGAGAGACTCCCAGACTGTCCTGGGGCTCTTGGCTCTCCAGCCACATTAGAGACAAAAGCACACCCTGTGACCTGGAGGCAGGAAAGTCAAATTATGCTCAACAGGTTCCACCAAGAAGGCTAAGGGAGTTTATGGCACATACTTTAGACTTACACTAAATTCCTCATATGTGTAATTGCCTAGAATTTATGGAGGAGGCCTTATTTCTTGTGTCTGTGAACACATCAATAGCCATCTGTTGCCTATTATGGGCCAGGTATAATACTAGAGTATTTTGCAAATATTGCCTTTAAATCCCCCAAAAAAATCTGCTAGAAAGCTACAACCATTATCCCTGCACGCTGTATAAAACAGGATGAGTAAGAGATAGAAACTACAGGATGCACTTAATGGTTCTGCCCAGGATGGGGCCTTTCAGGATGTGTCTTTGAAAGAGGGTGTTAACGAGGGAATTTTCATTTCTGGACCAAAGGAATGAAAAGATTCAAAAAAATCGTCCCTTTAGGGATTTTATTGGAATGCAAATTTTGGCTGCATCGCTTTCAAAAGATAGGTGAGTAGAGAGGTGTTCTGAGCTAATATTCTTATCCAGTGTCATTGGGAAGGCCGTTGACGCTGGGCTGGAACCTGCGATCACTGGCTCCCATTTCCTAGGCTTCAGGTGGACTAAAACTTGTAGGCCTGCGGCAGAGATGGCAGGGAAATACGCCCCTAGCCACGAAGCCCCTCCCCTCCCAGGCGAGCCACGCCCTGTCCGCCACGCCCTCACCCGGTGCGCCAAGCCACCTCCGCACGCAGTCCTGGTAGGTAGCTTGAACTGCACCTTCTCAGAAAGGCGTTTCTAGGGGTTTCGCTTCCCATGGACAGACTTGTGAGAGCCTTGGAAATGCGAGGGCTTGGGTCTCAATCCAAACGGCTCCCTTTTCAATCACAAACATTGTGTAGGAGAGAAAATTCTTGTTGCTATATCCTTCCTACTTCCCTAGTTTCAAAAACAAAATAGAACATAATAAAATGCCCTATGTAATGAGGCTGAATCCAGGGACAAACGCATATGCTGCATTTGGAAACTCAACTCCCCATGAATGTTGTTTCCAGTGACTTTTTACAAATAGTGTACGACTCTGTTTAAAGCTTCCAACAAAGCAAAGTACGGTTCTCCCTCTTTTTACAAATTCCTTGAGGTTTCATTGTATGTGTAAAGAGCGCCAAAAAAAAAAAAAGCTTATTTGTAAAACAGAATGGGCCCCTAGGCTGAGATCATAATAAAATGATTTTTCACGAATATAAATGTCTAGTGGCACTGACCATCTCTTGCTGGAGCAAACAGTTCTTTCTCAGCATTACAGGACGCCTAGCATCCCTGGCCTGCATTCACTAAATGCCAATTTTGCCGCCGTCGCTGTGACAACTAAAAAAACTCCACAAATACCCACGATTGCCGCTAGAGGGCAGTCCCGCTTTGACTGAGAACCACTTTCATGGCGCAATGAGCGCGAACTTCGTCGGTGAAAGTGGCAAGGCAAACCCTTAAGAGGGTAAGGATCTAGCAGCGAGCATCCAGCCTAGGGACCCTTTCTTCACAAGCTGGCAGCACTTAGGGGACGCATAGAGCACTCAGATCTACTTGAATGTCCTGCCATTTCTGGAACTTTTTCACGAAGTTATTAGCATTTATGCTCTTTGCTATCATACCTGAAAGAGCAAGAGATTAACAGTAAAAGAAACTCAAACTCTAAGCGATTGTAAGGAGGAGAGGGACAGGAAATCTTGGAAGGTGGGGGTGGGGGTGGGGGAGTATTTCTCCTCTACGTGTAGAGGCTCTGGGTTTAGCAAGAGGATGAATTACTTAGAACCAGGGCCCTATTCCTGCCACAGGCACTATCTCCTCTCCTGTGAAAAGATGGGAACAGTGTCACGGCCAGTGGGATATACCCGACAGAGGAGAAACACAAGAAAGCCCACTCCTGCCTTTGGGATGACCTTGACGCCTGTTCAGGTTCTCAAACTTGGCTGCACACTGGGGTAACGGGGGGAGCTTTCAACATGCTGAGGCTTGGGTGCCACAGATTCTAAATCAAGGGGTCACACAGAGGTGCTGCCTGTGGAGGGGATTGTCACGTTTCTCCAGGGGGTTGTAATGGGAAGCCAGGGCTGAGAACCAGTCTTGCATTAGGAGAGCGGTGGTCCCAAGAGCACTGAGAAGATGCTGTCTCTTAAAAACAAAAGGAGACTACTAACCACATGACAACAGATACACGCTTGAAAAGTCACCACCTTTGATTTTTTTCAAACTTTCCAACCATTAAAAAAAAGGTAGGTTGGAATTTATGGACTTTTCTTTCCCCTTCCAGCAGATAGTGTTTGAAGTTTCGTTTGTGTTTTGACACTTGGGATGCAGTTGGGGTCTTCCAGGACTGGCTAAAGTGAGGGTTGGCTTTGTTTGCAGGCAGCTCACATTTGTAATATTCAGGTGCCTTTGGAGTTTAAGTAATTTAAGGATCTGACTTCAAGAAAGTACAGATGCACTGTAATTGTTTGCCTCCGCAATTCCCAGAAGCTCCCAGGGTGACTTCCCATCAGGTAAATGCGACTTCAAGTGCTCCTATTCAGAGGTCCCACTGAGGGTAAATACCAAGGAAGTGATGCGTTTCAAATGTTGCAACTAGGTCTCTGTTTTAACTAGTAGGAATGCACACAGAAAAAAAAAAAAGAAGTGCGGAATCACTCCTTTGGGACCTGGGGGTGGGTGGCTCTGTCTGGTACA